ACGACACATGTGATTTCAATGTCATCACGTCACATGGCAATCACGAAACATCGCATGTGATCACAATTTCGTAAAGCCATCTGTGATTATAATATTATGATGTCAAGAAGATTATACCAATTTAGCAGCACATTGAGTGTCATAACGTAAGATAATACATAAACAAATAGTTTGTGGTTGTTTTCTTTGTTATTGTTAAGAAAGTGCGTGAATTGATGAATACCACCAAATCGATTGAAAGAAAATATGTGTTTCTCGCCATAACTCATCTTATAATTTTGTTCTTCCGCCTAGCTCTTGGCACATCTAACTTTTGTCAATTTCAATGGTCTTGAATGGCTTCATTATGTTAATGGGCTGTTATAACAGTAACAACGCACAGAGTTCCTTCGATAATAAGTAATCCCCAATTCAACGTTTATTTAATTGAATTTTACTGAAATCATTACTTAAGATAAAACTTAATACTGCCCCCAAGGACTGATTTTTTAGTAATTTTTCCCTCATTGTTTGCTGTTGTGTTAGCTTTCTATAGTTCACTGGAACTAACAAGTCAAAAGTCAACAAATATTGATTACATTATATATTGAGATATTAATGAATTTTGTTCTCTTATGAGTAAGTCGTCTATATAAGTTTTATTTTAAACTGCGACAGTATTGAACATAAAGTTCGCGTAGCTATCAGCTTACCTCATAGTACATGTATTTACTACACCATCAATAATCATATAACAGTAAAGCTATCATACTTTGGTATTAACACCCAGGAGTTAGGTTAAATGTTTACAAATTGTTCCTCGGCAGCAAACAATTCACACAGTGTGTTGTTGTACTTCGGGGTTAAAGTATATATATATGGGACGCTCTCATGTGAATAAGACACGAGGAATGTATAGCTTTTTGAAGAGTTATATTGTTTGCCACACCTGGTTTTGTATAAATGCTCATTCCTGAAGTACTTTTTTTTAAACTATTATAGACAAATGTTATAAAGTAACGTTCTAAATATATGTAAAGGCACATTCCCTTTCATATTATATTTCTTCAAATATTACAAAACGTTTTAGAGGTGGTTATTTATTTAATACAGTGAGTACATTAAAGACAAAACAGCATAAATATAAATGTTTGTTGAAAAATTTGCTTCAGATTTCTGGTTTTCGAGAAAAAAAATACACAAATATCAAATGTGTACTGAAACATGAAACAGTCAGCTAAGACGCAACACAACTAAAATATTTCCTGTGCTGACCTATTGACCTATTTTCATGAAAACAAAATTGCAAAGAAATCATTTTGCAGACAATTTATTTCGACTTCATTCTACCCATTAGGTTTCGCGCGTCTTATTGTTTTTATTGAAGTTTACTTACAAATAAGTGATTAAACATCCTCCAATTTCACCAAGTTTATATTTAACGAGATTTTTGTTCAACAACGTTTCATCACTGGCTTTGCTAGTTGCTCAATCTAGCGTGTATTCAAACTCCTAACTACCATATTTATACTATTAAATTAGAGATAAAGTTGTACATTGACACTGTATATTGGAATATATTTAATTTAAATTTGGAGACTTCAAAAGACGTTTTTAACAATCTTGAACATTATCTCTTCTTTCAGAACATCGGACTTTCCCATTCCACACACCAACCTGAATATACGCATTCTTTTCTATCATGAGACCTTTCGTTTCCCATGGAAGGACGATATTTTTTGGAGCATAGCCCGCCGAGATGGAATATACTGAGGATAAAAACGTAGGCAAAAACAGTTTTTTTCACAGAAGTTTCATAGGAGACTAAATTTAGTGCAGAGCTTATCAGAACGGGTAGCAAAAGCCTGGCCAAATCTTTCAGTTTCATGTTCAGATAAGTCGACGATGTGCTTCCTTTAAACAAAAAGAATTGTATTGACCACAATGATCATATAAACTCTCGTGAACATGACATCGAGGGTACAGATAATTGACCCATCATACTAAACCCATCCACCCAGTAGTCGCCACGTAGGATTCCCTTAATACTATAAGGATAAACACACAAGTATTTCCCCTAAAGTACATGTCACACAGAGAATTCTATTAAAACTGAAACCATATATTAAAAATAGCGTAGCATATCATGAACGGTACGTTTTGAACATAGATGAATCAAATGTACAGAACTGTAGAGGGGATCCTATTATTTATTACATCATATATCCCAAAAGTCAATACAGACTCGTGTATAGAGCGGTGTGTCACTACTTACAGATCAGCCATAAAGACACTTATCAAATAGTGACCAAAGAAAAACAAACAATCTATAAAGATTTAAGATATTGTTTTAATGGCCTAAAATGGTCATGGCTTCCGGTAACCCTCATCAGCTCTGGGAACCGAAGCCCGTGAGTGATATGGGTAATATGATTAAATTCAAAACCGATAACCCAAGATATGGGTAACTGTTAAAGCAGTCAGTCACATAGCTTAGGAATTAATACTCCCTGAAATTACTTTCGCTATAACTCGCCTCTGTAACTGGCCTGATAAGAAGAGAGAGTTTCAACAAGGGGCGTGACTCTAGTATAACATTTAAAACCGACAATTAGACAAATAAAGATAACTCACAATTGATAACGCAATTTAAAACGTTATTCGATTAAATTCATGTAACGCACTAAATCAGTTAAGACCGGTAGACAATGCGATTTGTTGAGAAATGACAAGGTTCCTTTTTATGATAAGAAAGATAAGGTTTTGTGGACCAAAAACACGGCAGAAATATCACCCTTAGAATTTGGAATATATTTACGTATTAACCGTTATTGTTCATGGATATTCCTACCATACTTCCGGGATGAATGCATCCTAACTTCACCTTCATCATCGGTCAGATTGTTTTCCAGCCTCTTGCTATACCATAGGATAGGGTAGTTACGGGCACAGGATTTTGGGTTTTATTTATTTGTTTGGATCAAGGTTTTCTGAATCGACTTTCATAATTCTAAAACAGGTGCTTCCTTTCGTTAATTCTCCCATTAGCGTATTATTTGGTAAATTAGATGGCTGGATCTACTTTTTAATGTATCATGTGTGTGGTATATTCTTTGAAATGAATAGATACTATTGACCGATTCCTTCAGTGTTTTGTAGTATGGATTTGATCTGATTACCTGTTATTGTAATCTACATCATCCTCGATATCATGGAGTTACGCTCACTTACGCTCTCTGCACCCCTGGAATATGTCATAGCAAAATTGAAGGCACGAGGATAGCTGTTTGATTGGTCTCAGGTAAAAACACTGACCAATCGCTAGGCTGACAACTGTCCTTTGAAGATTACAAAGGAGAGACGCCCGACTTCAAAGCCTGTCAATTTTTACCGTTACGTGACCGCGAAATTCTTTTGATCGAACTAGTCTTCTTGTCTCGTCCACAAGGTGCTGCACATTGAGCCTTCAACTTTGCTATGACATATTCCATGCGTGTAGAGAGCGAAAGTGAGCATAACCCCTGGATCTACATTGTTGTTTTGCTATGTCACCATTCGGCTAATGTGACGTACTCCTGTCCGAAATTATGTACTAAAAGAGTGTAAACATGAAAACATAATGTTTGAATCTTAACAGTTTATTATTTACTTTGTTAAAAAGGCCCTCAGAGATACCAAATGTAACTTTAAAAAAAACCGATATCATCCTTAAATCAAGCTATACTTCGTAACTGCATGACGACACATGGTGTTGATAAATGTCATTTCCCTGTGGACACTTCATCCGGTATGAACATACCAATATGACACTCACATGCAATGGTCCAAGACTTTTTGTATTATTTCACTTACGGTTTGGACTATATTGTTGTAAGTGACTAGAAAATAAGATAAACCAATTTAATCCCAATAGAATTATATTTATCAACAATTTATTTTAAAATATTGCCCAATTATCACCTCGTGATTGTATGTATGCATTCGAAGTCGATCGAGCACGAAACCATTGACGTTAGCTAAACAGCCAAGTGAGATAATGATAAATAAACGTAAAGTGATACTAGTTTTGAGCACAACCAGTTGGTTCCTATAGTTTGTATTAGGCGCTGATATATGAATCTGCCAATCATCACGATAACATCATATGGAGTTTAGTGATAGAAAATCGGTAAACATAGGATGCACACGTGCTAGATAACATAAAACGGACAAACAAGGACAATGTTATGTCCCAATTATTGCATAGTGGGGAGGGAATTGATTGTTTCCGCCTAAAATCCAAAAATATTTATTCGGAAACGACGTCACCATATTTCAAGGTTATGTTGTGTGAAATACAACATGGCTAATTGTTTTTCTCCAATTTAAAAGGGATGTACTCAACAAATTAATTAGCTGTAAGTACTAGAAATGCGAATTAAGGAAGTTCTCATTTACATGTTTTATTAAATACAGAAAGGCAAACGTATTAATTCCTACTGCGCCATTTCGTCCATTAAGGGCTCATTTGTGGCATAGTAGGTATAATATATCGTATGGTGGAATAACGAACGAGGATGAGCAAATGATAGAAAAATGATTGACGAGTTGATAATGCTTCTAACATTTATAAATCCCGAATTATATATTCCACTATAATATAAAAGATATAGCGATTATAACAAGTAATATGTACTGAAAGTTGTTTTCGTGTCTCCCACAGTGTCCATGAGCCTATGATAAGCAAGGTCACCCTGAAAATGTACTTATTTAAATTAAGCTGTTCTTTTGTGCGTGCTAACATTTATTACATGATGCCTTTAAATATTCATTTCACAACAAGCTGCGCATGCGTGTCTATATTTCTGTGGACAGTTGTCTAATTTTGTCATTTTAACCAGGATAGATATATATTATATATATATGGTTACTTAATCGGGTAAAAATGATTAATTTGGTAAAAACAGATGAATCACCCCGTCCACAGCCTACCAAAGTACAGGTATGGTACACGTTGTTGTTATGAGATCACTACTCCTCTAATGAAGGAGATCATTACACCTCTAATGAAGGAGATCACTACACCTCTAATGAAGGAGATCACTACTCCTCTAATGAAGGAGATCATTACTCCTCTCATGATGGAGATCACTACTCCTCTAATGAAGGAGATCACTTCTCCTCTTAGGAAGGAGATCACTACTCCTCTTATGAAGGAGATCATTACACCTCTAATGAAGGAGATCACTACTCCTCTAATGAAGGAGATCATTACTCCTCTAATGAAGGAGATCACCACTCCTCTTAGGAAGGAGATCACTACTCCTCTAATGAAGGATATCATTACACCTCTAATGGAGGAGATCATTACACCTTTAATGAAGGAGATCACTACTCCTCTAATGAAGGAGATCACTACTCCTCTAATGAAGGATATCATTACACCTCTAATGGAGGAGATCATTACACCTCTAATGAAGGAGATCACCACTCCTCTTAGGAAGGAGATCACTACTCCTCTCATGAAGGATATCATTACACCTCTAATGGAGGAGATCATTACACCTCTAATGAAGGAGATCACTACTCCTCTAATGAAGGAGATCACTACTCCTCTAATGAAGGAGATCATTACTCCTCTCATGATGGAGATCACTACTCCTCTAATGAAGGAGATCACTTCTCCTCTAATGAAGGAGATCATTACACCTCTAATGAAGGAGATCACTACACCTCTAATGAAGGAGATCACTACTCCTCTAATGAAGGAGATCATTACTCCTCTCATGATGGAGATCACTACTCCTCTAATGAAGGAGATCACTTCTCCTCTAATGAAGGAGATCATTACACCTCTAATGAAGGAGATCACTACACCTCTAATGAAGGAGATCACTACTCCTCTAATGAAGGAGATCATTACTCCTCTCATGATGGAGATCACTACTCCTCTAATGAAGGAGATCACTTCTCCTCTTAGGAAGGAGATCACTACTCCTCTAATGAAGGAGATCATTACTCCTCTAATGAAGGAGATCACTACTCCTCTAATGAAGGAGATCACTTCTCCTCTAATGAAGGAGATCATTACACCTCTAATGAAGGAGATCACTACACCTCTAATGAAGGAGATCACTACTCCTCTAATGAAGGAGATCATTACTCCTCTCATGATGGAGATCACTACTCCTCTAATGAAGGAGATCACTTCTCCTCTAATGAAGGAGATCATTACACCTCTAATGAAGGAGATCACTACACCTCTAATGAAGGAGATCACTACTCCTCTAATGAAGGAGATCATTACTCCTCTCATGATGGAGATCACTACTCCTCTAATGAAGGAGATCACTTCTCCTCTAATGAAGGAGATCATTACACCTCTAATGAAGGAGATCACTACACCTCTAATGAAGGAGATCACTACTCCTCTAATGAAGGAGATCATTACTCCTCTCATGATGGAGATCACTACTCCTCTAATGAAGGAGATCACTTCTCCTCTAATGAAGGAGATCATTACACCTCTAATGAAGGAGATCACTACACCTCTAATGAAGGAGATCACTACTCCTCTAATGAAGGAGATCATTACTCCTCTCATGATGGAGATCACTACTCCTCTAATGAAGGAGATCACTTCTCCTCTAATGAAGGAGATCATTACACCTCTAATGAAGGAGATCACTACACCTCTAATGAAGGAGATCACTACTCCTCTAATGAAGGAGATCATTACTCCTCTCATGATGGAGATCACTACTCCTCTAATGAAGGAGATCACTTCTCCTCTAATGAAGGAGATCATTACACCTCTAATGAAGGAGATCACTACACCTCTAATGAAGGAGATCACTACTCCTCTAATGAAGGAGATCATTACTCCTCTCATGATGGAGATCACTACTCCTCTAATGAAGGAGATCACTTCTCCTCTAATGAAGGAGATCACTACTCCTCTAATGAAGGAGATCACTACTCCTCTAATGAAGGAGATCACTACTCCTCTAATGAAGGAGATCACTACTCCTCTTATGAAGGAGATCATTACACCTCTAATGAAGGAGATCATTACTCCTCTAATGAAGGAGATCACTACTCCTCTAATGAAGGAGATCATTACTCCTCTAATGAAGGAGATCACTACTCCTCTAATGAAGGAGATCACTACTCCTCTAATGAAGGAGATCACTACTCCTCTAATGAAGGAGATCACTACTCCTCTAATGAAGGAGATCACTACTCCTCTAATGAAGGAGATCACTACTCCTCTAATGAAGGAGATCACTACTCCTCTAATGAAGGAGATCACTACTCCTCTAATGAAGGAGATCATTACTCCTCTAATGAAGGAGATCACTACTCCTCTAATGAAGGAGATCATTACTCCTCTAATGAAGGAGATCACCACTCCTCTAATGAAGGAGATCATTACTCCTCTAATGAAGGAGATCACTACTCCTCTAATGAAGGAGATCATTACTCCTCTAATGAAGGAGATCACTACTCCTCTAATGAAGGAGATCAGTACACCTCTCATGAAGGAGACCACTACTCCTCTAATGAAGGAGATCACTACTCCTCTTAGGAAGGAGAACAGTACACCTCTCATGAAGGAGATCACTACTCCTCTAATGAAGGAGATCAGTACACCTCTAATGAAAGAGATCACTACTCCTCTCATGAAGGAGATCACTACACCTCTAATGAAGGAGATCATTACACCTCTCATGAAGGAGGTCACTACTCCTCTAATGAAGGAGATCACTACTTCTCTTAGGAAGGAGATCATTACACCTCTCATGAAGGAGGTCACTACTCCTCTAATTAAGGAGATCACTACTTCTCTTAGGAAGGAGATCATTACCCCTCTCATGAAGGAGGTCACTACTCCTTCATTAGAGGAGTAATGATCTCCTTCATGAGAGGAGTATGATCTCCTTCATTAGAGGAGTAGTGCCCTCCTTCATGAGAGGTGGAATGATCTCCTTCCTAAGAGAAGTAGTGATCTCCTTCATTAGAGGAGCAGTGGTCTCCTTCATGAGAGGTGTACTGATCTCCTTCATTAGAGGAGTAGTGACCTCCTTCATGAAGGAGGTCACTACTCCTCTAATGAAGGAGATCACCACTCCTCTAATGAAGGAGATCACCACTACTCTAATGAAGGAGATCAATACACCTCTCATGAAGGAGATCACAGATCACTCCTCTCATGAAGTGTCTGATACCTCCGTTTGAGCTGGTCTCACCCAATAGCATTTATATGTGTTAAAGGTTAGATAATGCACCCTGTATAATATTTACTTAGTTTGGATTTCTATTTATATATCCCTCCCTACGTTTATTGATATTTTATTTACCTCAAATGGATAGCAGATGGTCAATGGGTCCGCACCGATGACCGAGACTTTATAGCTGGATTTTAGCATTTGACAATTTCATGAAATATTATTTAAAGAATAGTTTGTTCTGTTGTAGCTAGAAGTTGATACTTTGAATCGTTACATAGAGTTTTATGGGAACCTTTAGTACCATTTACTGGTCAAAAATCAACTGACTGAAAGGTTTGTGTGGCAAAAGGGTTTACTTTGTTTGGCTGATGACACAGCGAGTACTTGTCACCTCCTGTAAAACAAGCTGATGAAAAGCGATGTTCTTTTCAAATATCACGTCCCATTTATTTGTTGGGAGAGATAACATGCCCGTTTTCCGTCTAATCTTAACCTGTTGGTGAAATACCAAACACAACATTAGGGCTTCCAGTTGCAGGTTTTTAAAAAGGTAAATGTGCTGTTTGCCAGAAGATTGTATTACATTTATGTTGTATATAGATCAACTGACGTCCCGATTTCAGTGTAATTGGAATTATAAATAAATGACAAGTCGTTTGTAAACAACTGTTGTTTTAACTTGTTCCACGCACTTCATCAACGCTAGTCTCGATCTAAATATAAATATTTTCATTGAAGCTTTTCTTGATCCTGCTTCTTAAGTATGAATCCTTTCAAACATACCCGCCCTTATTCTTTTAAAAATCGTCAAAAGAATAGCGGCATCATTTTATGAAGTACGACCCTACCAATATGGCATCCTGGCAGCAGTTACGTTATACATACCCTGTGTTATTGATGATGGTCCAGCGCATGGGATTATTTTTGTTCAATTTGGATTATTTGCATGATAGGAAAATGAAGGAGCAGACGCTCAATCCCTCCTGCATGCTGAAGACAGGAATTACATAAATTCTCGTGATATTATGTTTGAAATTATAATCACTTGACCAAGTCTTGTGTGATAACACCGAAGATCTAACCCTTGGGTTGCGATTCGAATGCTGTATTTGAGCAGATGGAAAAGCGTTAACTGTCAATCAGAGGCGGCAAATGAAGTTGAATGCATGAGGTTGATGTTTCTCTGGATTAGCCGGAGGACACCATAGGACCCCGACATATGGTTTATTAGCTGAAGCAGGCTGAGCACTTCATTCTGTAGCACGATAATGATGACGATGATGGTTTGAAAAGATGATGATGATGTGGCAACAGTGTTTTCGTTACATATACGTATGGCGTCACGAGATATTTATAATGATCATCGGATAAAAGAACTAATGTATAAAAGTGTTGTCAATATTTAAACGGCTGAAAGGAAACTAGACAAATATTACACCCGTTTAAGTGTATCCTGTTGACGAAGAAGTACGTAGATTATCAAATTGATCATGAATTAGATAAAGATAATAATGGGCTTGTTTTAAATGAGTTTTATATTCTTCGATTTCAATTACTTCCTGATGCTTGTCCACCATAAAATCTAAATAAAAATGTCAGGGTAAAAACAGGAAACTTTTATTTTCAATACTATACATACCAGGAAATCGTAAATCAAATAGACAGGGGAAATTATAAAGATTAACAATGACCTGAGACACGACACACCGAGCAAATCTGTTGTCAGCGGAAACACTGAAGCTTTCTACGCATTGTCCTCTTTTGAGAAATTGTTTGAATAGATAAAATAATAAAGATAGAAATTTAACTTTCCCTTTCCTTACAGTTAGAGAAGTTATTAACAACGTACTAATATATCAGATTTTTTTCTCTGTATGTATACTAACATATAAGAGTGTCTTGACGCTATTTCTGCTTACTTTAACATTATCCAGTGACTGGACGTGTGTGGATCGTCTCTGACTAATATTACGTCTTGACCCGACCTTTTCCTGGTTTCTCCCGCGGTCACATTTCTTTTCACAAACATTGCCGAATTTTACACGCAATTTTTCTGATAATTATTTCCTTCTGGTAAAGGGATGGATTGGCAACTTTCATAGTACCTCTTACGCAATTACTTCTTTGCTGGTAAATCTTTATAAGTAACAAAGATCTAGTGCCAATATTGCAATGCTGCGTATACGTATGATACCTTTATTTAGATATATGTCTAATAAATAGTGAAATAATATAAAATTTATTACATTTACATGTGTATCTCCAGATGTTTGTCTAAACAAATACGAGTGTATTGAAGACACTGTTCACTTCCTGTTAAGAAACAAACAGTAATACCCAACCTTCAGGAACACTCAACACCAGACGCAGGTATTTTTTGTGGTTCGTGATATCTTTTGTTTGTTTAAATGTTCCCTCTCTTCTTGCTGTTATAATTTCGTATGAACATTGACACTATGTTGTAAATATCGGGTTTATCTTATATCCTAGTAACGCTATCTTGACTACAATCGTTGAACCTGGTCACTAGTCTAATTAAACCAAGTTATAGAAAGAGTTGAAATTTCTGAACTTTCCTTTGTGACGATATCATATATTTTTAGATGCAAACATTATTTTTGTAAATTGAGCTACCCGGAAAGTAACATAACATTGTAACTTTCATTTCTTTCCTTTTATAAATGCTGCATTTGGGTACTATTCTATTTTTGAATAATATTTGGAATTTAAAACAGGAAAATAAAGCGTGAATAATGACATCACATTTAATTGTTCTTGTCACGTGACATACCACACTATTGATCCACTCAGTTGTGTATAAAAAGTCTCAGGAAGATTGCAGTGCGCGCAGTATGTCAAAAATCAGGAACAAGGACACGTTAACATTGACAAGGTATGGACATTTCAGTATAGTTTACTATTATATATGACAATGATGCTGATTCCTTATGTAGTTGATATATTAGATTATCAAAGTGCCTTTGTTTGTAATCTCTAGAAAATTGTTTAAATAATAGCTTAGCGACGTAAGTTATACTTTTTTGACGAAAAAATATGATGAAATGCTTGATAAACTCTAAACGAAAACTTTGTTTTGCCGGATAGTTTATACATTACTTAACAATTAGTTCTTGGCTTCCTCTACTTAAATTGAATTGTTAATTATTAGACGTTATTTTTCCTTTATTAAAATGTGTGCACTGCGTTTATGCAGCCTTAATGTATATAGGTTCAGCAGGAAGAAAATATTAATATTCTCTACAAAGAATCGTGCACGTCACATCAGGGTATTGTTATCTACGCTTCATGAAGTGAATATTTTCCGGTTCACAAGAGATATTTGTTATAAAATAATATAAATAAGTCATTTCTTCTCCACCTTATAACTCAACTGTCTTTTACTTTGACACTTATTAGCAAAGTAAAATCAATGTTATTAGAACTGGAAATATAATAAATGCATCTTTAGTTTCACAGACGACATACTATAGTAAGTTTCTGGGACTCTTTCCTGCTATAAATATACAGGTTTCACCGTGAAATACTTTATCTACAGATCAAAAACATTTTTTATATAAAAGTCTTACCATTGTTCTTTTTTTCAGATGAAGCTTCCGGTTTTTAGCATAGCGGTGCTATTTCTTGTGGTCGTCCTTTTCGGTAAGTATGTTAGTCAGATATAGTAATTTCATTTCATAAGAATTGGCTGAAAAGATATCGTGTTAAAAAATACTGAATTTATAATTGTTGACCTATATTGCTTAGTGCATTACCAATGCAACGTGAGTCATTAATTGCAAAATGTGGTCATCAGTTCTGTTCGATTACATTTACCTAAAGGTAAAGAGTACCAACAAGTCAAACTATTATTACCAAAGCGATGTCAAAGTTGCAATAGATATATTTCATTACAATAAAACGCTGCCATGCATTCGACAGAAGCGCAGTTGTCGAAATTCGAATGTTTGAAAGGAAAAACCAAAGAGGAAAACAAGAAAACTGAAGGGGTCGAACATGGAACATTTACATTAATATTCATACCTTTAACCAATGTTGCTATTAGGAAATTGTGCAAACAAAGCATCAAAATCGGTGTTCAATATAAGGGCCATATGTAAAAACCTGACAGAGAATGGTACTCTTAATCCATCAACTTGTATAGGAGCCTTCCTCCTCTATACAGAGGAGAGAAAACGTAAAACACTCAGAGGGAAACTCGTCTTTGCAATTTAAACTAATGCAGTGGTAACTTTTAACTTACTGCAAATGAACCCGGCTAATGTTGAACAAATTATTGAATTTCAAACATGAATAATGCAACATTTCTTGAAACAATAGTAGTTTGAACGGCTTAACTGGTACATTTGTCAGACTTTTAATATTTTCATGGTAATATGTTTTGAGGATGATTTTGTTTGTTCTACAATTAAGTAGATAATGCAGCAATTATATTTTATAATAATATTTTCAATGAAGTTGTTGTTTCTTGTCCTTCAATTAAGTGGTTAAAACATCAATAATTATTGCTGTTTAATACTATGTCAAAACTGGTTAATGCACGTACATCTAAAACAAGTAAATCGGTTTTATTGTGGGAGAGGCAGGCTTATGTTAAATGTAGATCCTGCAATTACAAAGATTAACACTTCGATTAGTAATTATTAAAAAGAACATCAATTTAAATATATTAAGAGGTTATTACATTCAATTTAAAAGTCCTTAATTTAGGACAAGATGGAACATTTTGATGTTTTAGGTAAATTATGTGAATCACAAGTATAAATTGATAAATAACAATTCTTGATTCATATTTAAAATAGGGACCACTTTTTATTTTATTTGAGGTTTGAAGACGCCCGACGCAACGGCTAGTCATGGGAACCGTTCATATTGGCTGAGCAATTGACACTTTTAACATGCTAATGAATATGGAATTTGAAAGATAACAAGCATTTTGAATTTATGAGATATATGTGATATTTGAAAAGGACCGATTTCTTAAAGTTTGGTTAGTTTAACGAATAAGAAACACAGTTTTTAAAAACGTTTTTTTTACATGAATATCCGGAAAATTACAAATATTCTTGGTTTTTTTTATGGGTGAATATTTTGAATTTGACATCTACATTTCTTTTAAATTTAATTTCTGTTAAAATTATACCAGATGAAAGTTTAACGATAAGGTTTTCGTTAAGCTGTTCCGACGTTTGACTACAGGGCCCAGGTGTGTGTTTTTCCTGATCAACATTACAGCCAGCAATAAAATTATAATGAATAATAAAAGTGTCGACGTATAACTGTTAACACGTAATATTTCCTGTCACTCAGGTTTACTGCTGTGCATTTTCACGTCACCTGGTGATTTGGTTTCATTAGCATCGAACAGTGAAGAAAATATCTTAGGGGACTAATCATGCATTTGTTTTCCTCGTGTCGTAAAAATATTAGACAATGCTTTAAGCGTCGTTGATCAATGCTTTCTATACCAGTATTTCGCTATCATTTTGTTCTATCTATAATAATACATGTAAATATCAACCATTTTTACTGGTCTTAAACTTTAAAACGAAACATTCTGTGAACAAGAACCACAAAATATGTAAAATTACCGATAAAGTATACAAATCAGGAAGCTATGTTATCTTGGATAACAAAGTTAATGTTGATACTAATATGCCGTAATAAGGTCATACATATTCTTAAGGATCCCTGCCCCGCTGCATCGTAGCTTTTGTGTTTATTGTTAACGCCACCCCTTAATTCTGTTTTAGAGATAGAACTATTGAACAGCTAGGCCAGGACATTTCCGTTGACTAAGTAGCTCTGTTTGTTAGAGCGATATTATCACAATCTGAAATCCTGGGTTCAAATCCCGGCCTGGCCCGCAGAATTGGTATAGTCATAAAACTAATCTGTATCACTTTTTCCGTAGAAGTCGCGAAATGATTGATGAAAGCTTCTGTTTTTTGAATAAGTTAACATGGAAATCATTTCTACCAACGATCAATGGAATAGGCTTTAATAGTTGTTTTCGTATCGATCTAAAATGAATTTGAGGTCCGTCAGAATGGCCATAACCATACTAATTATACAAATGCGGAATCCTCGAATATATACCATCGATATTATCATAGTGACAAACCGTTTATAAATGTTTAGCATTGTGTATATATATAGATGGGAATAATTTAACTATTAGAAACAGTTAACTACATAAAGTTGTTGATCTTTTCAGAATGACACTCAAATTAGGATGGAAGACACTTTTGAACTCGTGTCTTGCGTGGTATATTCATGTGTATGTATCAATTTACCATGTGCTGTCTATTTACATTACAGACTCGGAGTGCTTGGCAGCATCAACCACAACTGATTCTACAGAGGCTGCTATGGCTACTGATACAACCATTGTCGCAAGTACTGCTCCCGAGAGCACTACAGCAGGAAACATGACAACTACAGAGTCCAATGGAGTCGGTGACAATGTTCCTTTAAGACTGTCTGCAGTATTTCCAGTGTTTGTTTACGTGTGTACAGTGATCTTCGCTAGATGATGCAGTTTAACTCTGCGATTCTTCAACTACTAGCTTCTTGAGGCGAATGACTCACATTAGATGACGACGCAAGACGGAATGACGGAGGCTTCAGTATGAACGGAACATTTTAGATACAATGATTTTGTTATGTCACCATTCCGGAATATACCTCCAAACAATTATTCTAAAATTATCCAAATAACAGATACACATCCTAAGAATAATATATAAATTTCAATTTACAATATCCATATCATATAAGAGATGAAGGAAAGAGATGTATTCCTGTGTTTGTATCGTTGAAGTATTTGGATGGAATGCTGTTAGTACAAAGACAATTTTACCCGAAAGCTGTGTTAGCGTACTGCTTACTAGAGGAGATAACTCCGGAATGACGGTAAATCCAATATAGCATTTTGTACTGTTTCCATTTTCAGTTTTTTTCCCAAATAAATAGTTTAAAATTGTGTTCATGCATTGTTAAAATATAAAAATGCATCGGTACAATTCTGATATCCATAAATTAGATTTTGGTATAGACAACTGTCACAGTTGATTTATTTAGCAATCGCAGGAGAACATCAACTGTATATATATATTACTATTTCTTTAAAAGGGAGGCAAGTTATGCTTGAAAAGTTTGTGTAATCGTGTGAAAGGGTGAGTAAAATTCATGTTCAACGGTTTGATGTCACTTTGGGCGATGTTTTGCCTAAACATATCAACAATTTAAAGAAATAGTGAAGCATTTTCATACAAAACAATTATCAATTCAAAATGATTTATTTTTCAAATTTTATATCAATAACATTCACAAACAAAACGAAAATGTAATTCACAGCAAGCAAGTTACGTAAATGAATATAAACATTTCAATCAGGTATATATAGCATTACATTCAGAGTTATTAACGAATACGACATGTAGGTTATGTCGTTAATATTCTATCAAAGATAATTCCTGGATATAGTGGAGCATTCTCATACAAAGCACATACCAGTATAAAATAATATATTTTTCATATTTTACAGCAATTGAATTACCAATTATCCCAACAACGAGATTCACAACAAGAAATGCATAATTATCGATGCATTATTAGATATTAATCAAAGAAAGGGATTACTAAAGTGTTTCAGTGTAGAATTAAATCCGTAATAATGAAAAGATAAAAAGGCTAGTATTTAGTAAATAATCTCAAATATTTGTCACAAGCAATATTTGCAATTAGCAAAATTAAAAAATAAATGTTTCATAAGATGCGTAAGCAGGGCAAAACACAGGGAGAACATAGAATAGAAAGAATTGTCAACGGCTTCCTGTTAAATGTTCTCAAGTTTTCACACCAACACAGGTTCCTTTGGTCCGTTAGATTTTCCATCCTTAAAGTTGTATTCTGCCTTTCCAAGCAACAGCATTGCATCACGTGATCTTGCAATGACAGGTTGTTTGAGTATCGTTAATTCGAATTGTCCAGCTTTTGGTTTGAACGCTTTGAAATTGCGAGGGCCTTGTGATGACCAGTGAGAAGTGGTCAACAATTTATCGTATGCTTCGTTCCTTTTCTCAATTGTCTCTTGAGAAGCCCATTTTGCCGGTGTCATGGAAACAAACACGACAAAGCGCCATCTATCGTTGTGAGGTCTGTCGTATACCGGGTCGACATTGTCATGAACTGTTCGCGAATCCCACAATACCATTCCTCCCTTGGGAACTGGTACCTTGGTTCGTGTGCATCTCCTTTTATCATACCAAGCCTTTTGTGTTTTACTCAATTTTAAGAACTCCATTCGTCTTGACTTTGTGGCAGCCTTTGGGAATTCCTCGAAGAATTGTTTATTGTACAGGGGAGAATGCGTCATGACCCGGAAACAATGGTCGGTGTCGGTAGTTTCCTCTAAGTAGACTGCACCTTGGAAGGCGTGCAGACGCTCTCTGTACACAGCCTGATCCAGATGTAACCATTCTGTATCCGGATCGGCGTACTCGTCACTTCCTGTTGTGACGAAAAGGTCACGACATTGATACGACATGTCTTATTTACTTATTTCAATTCAACAGGCCAAAAGTTTTATTTACACAATAAATTACGATGGCCGAAGGCGGCCAGTCACATTTGAAGCATTTACACCTCGTTTCTGTACCATGGTACACTTTCGTGTGGTACACAAACGAAGCATGTATACTCGTTTGTGTACCGCGTTACACTTTTGTGGTTCACTTCTGCGTTACACTTTTATTGTTCGTTTCTGTCCAATTGTACAGCCTAAAGCGGCCATGGTACACTTTTAAACGTTGGCCTATTGACCTCGCCAGCGTTTGGAATGTTCATCATTCGAAAGGTTATCGCAGTAATAGGATATGAAACCAACGCTTACGCTCTGGACATGGGCCCATTTGGGGGTGGAGGAGGCTGTGGTAGCCGTCAGGTAAATCATCAAGCAAAATAGCATAAGGTCACGTACCGGTATATCTAACAAATTTAAACGACAAATGCATATCGCTTTTAATCTCGCTAGGCATATATTTCACATGATAATTAACATATTTTTTATCTTAACAAATATTTAGTTTTTTAAATAAAGAAGATGTATCATGTATGAGCCCTCCACAGAAGAGTTACGACAGACCTCAACATTCCACGGTGGCAGCCCGTTATGTTTTAATCGGAAAATTAATAGCTCAGGGTCAATTCCTATCAGTGGCCGCTCTCGGCCACACAATAATGTACCGTGGGACACAAACGAAGGATAAATGCTTCGTTTATGTACCAAACAAAAGTGTACCGTGGTACACAAACGATGTATAAATGCTTCGTTTGTGTCCCACACAAAAGTGTACCATGGTACACAAACGAACTATAAATGCTTCAAAAGTGCCTGGCCGCCTTCGGCCATCGTAATAAATAACCATAATTACACAAATGCAAGATAAAATGTCAGATATTTTGACATCATGGAAAGAAGACTGAAACAAGTGCAGCATCATGCCAAACAAACTAAATCGTCTGATTTCACTAAAGTTAAAAGAAGGAAAAGTATATTAAAAGATAGGTCAAGCTCAGAAATATTCATTTATCCGACAATGTGGCTAATGAAATTCTGAAAGAACAGGGGAATGTTATCATTTTGTTTAAGCTAAAATGTCTTTATTTTTATTGTACTATTGACTAACCTTCTTCTGGAGGTTTATATATCGCAATGGCATCCGCACTCGACAATAACTTTTCAGTTTTCCAAACCTTTGCAAACACAGGTTTGGACTTCACGAGATCGAGAAATGGCCAGTTCTGTAGGACTGAATAACAGATTTTCGGCTGGAACATTCCACTCCTATATCCTCGAACTTCTGGAACCATGACTTGTACTGACCAATATATCTGTCACACTCCTCAAGTGTAAGGACATCCGGAACGACGGCGTATCCCTTTTCTTTTAACTGCTTCAGTATAGCATCCCTAAAAGCAACAGTACAAGTACCGTCACTGATTTAATCTGATAGGTTAACAAATCAGATAAAAGAATTCTCTATTAGAACAAAACACTTCCTACCTCCTTACAACTCAAAAATCAACTAAATGTACCTCAATATGCACAGTTTAACATTGCATATCTCTGCTTATAGTTCTTTATTCAACTTCGAAGGACGAGACCAAAACATATCATGTAACGTCAGTATAAGGTAATGTAAAAATACGGAATATTCACACAAGAATACATTAACACTCTTGGATATGTAAATTGACATATCGCAGCAACAGACATATTTAAACTATGATTAATTTGGAATACAAAATAACGAATTCTATGTTGACAGTTTTATTAAAATAATAACCATTGTATATCAAAAGAAATGATGTACCCATTTATTTTTTACATCGATGCAAAATATCAAATTAATATTTACTGCATCATAAAGCAATTACGTTGTATTTAACATTCTTATTAATTGAAAAACTTGATCTAAAATATGTTGAGACATGGGTTAAATAACAGGAAAAGAGGAAAATGCCTATAAATACTCCTTCTACAAAATTACAAATTGTTTATCTTCTTCAAATGATGTATTTAAAACTCGCATTTAGCCAACGATATATTACAGTACTGATGTCAGTAATGTTCAATACAATCAATCATATCAAGTTGGAGTCATAATTTGACGTTTGTCAATTATCTAATAGTTTCTTTCCTCAATATAATTCGTTGCATACTATCAACTGGAGTCGTAATGAGGTCACACGACAAGGTCAATATGATTGTTGGTAACAACCAGCTGTTGACCAGTTGTTACACAAAATATTAATTACATAAATAATCAGACTGAAAGTTTTCATAGTTTCTCATATTTTATTATGGCAAATAGTGAGTTTTCATCATAAAACGTGTTGTCGTCTACAAATACAGACACCTGGTATATTCACATTCAGATATAATGTTCAAGACACAAAACAAAGACAAACTAGTCCTTTCGTTATAAGTTTTAATACAGTAAGTACTAGCATTCTCAACACAGACATTGTATCGTCTATAATAAACACAATAATAGTCAGTTATTATACTCAATGTATTTTATGTTAACACCACCGTTACACAACACTGCTGTGAATTACCCGTTAATGCTGTCACAAGCCGTTACAGTAGGTGGTTCACAAGCAGTAGCCATACCGTCTGGTCAGTACCGTCTGGTCAGTACCGAGTATCAAACACTTCGGATAGGATACGCTACACAGTCTTATATTCACTCAGCGTTGTCTATTTATAGACACGAATCATTCGTCAAACTTGATTGATTTGGAAAACAGATTAAACCTGGCTTGTAAGCATTTTCCTTACCCGACCTTTTGTGACCTGTGACGTCACAACAACGTCACGATTTCACAACACATCGAAACTCCAGTTAAATAGCTGAGTAAGTATTGCACCTGCTTTAGTGATCAATATCGTGTAGAATGCATATCATATTGAAGTATTTACGTAAATGAAGTGTAAGCAGCATCAATATAAACACCAGATGTAATTTTGATCGTTAAATTTAAAGTATGGTACTAAATTAGCAGTCAACAGAGGGGAGTTTGTAAACACTACCCGGAATACGTGTACCTATATTTAGAAATGGCCTACGATGTATACGAAGAGCATACTTCCTTTCAATACTCAATGTTGTAAGGCCTTGTTAGCTTGATGAGTCGTCCATACAAGTTTTGAAAACACTATTTGTGATAATTATCGATTTTTGACTCTCATTCATTTTCCTGTATGCATGCAGTTTTAGATGTGAATTTTAATATTTGCAACATATATTTGATTCAAAATGTGTGTTAACCAGTTGATAAGCCGACCAATAGATATACTTCAAGTAGTACCGATCAGTCGAATATAGGTATGTAATGTAGGTCCAAGTAGTACCGATCAGTGGAATATAGGTATGTAAGGTAGGTCCAAGTAGTACCGATCAGTCGGATATAGGTATGTAAGGTAGGTCCAAGTAGTACCGATCAGTCGAATTTATGTATGTAAGGTAGGTCCAAGTAGAACCGATCAGTCGAATATAGGTATTTAAGGTAGGTCCAAGTAGTACCGATAAGTCGAATATAGGTATGTAAGGTAGGGCCAAGTAGTACCGATCAGTCGAATTTATGTATGTAAGGTAGGTCCAAGTAGTACCGATCAGTCGAATATAGGTATGTAAGGTAGGTCCAAGTAGCACCGATCAGTCGAATATAGGTATGTAAGGTAGGGCCGGTATAACGGCAGAGTGCTCCTCAATGAGATCTTATTTTTTATATTTAATGAAAACCAAAGACACATGGCTTTTTATTTGAAATCATCACACAGGATACAGATAATATTTCTATATCTGAAAGTATAAAAGTGTTAAATGATTTTTTCCTTCAGTAGAAGATTATTTTAAAGTGTGAAATAAACTGGTTGTTCCATTTACTTAAATGATTACTTGTGTATATCAGAAACTGTAAATCAACGGTGTTTCAAACGAACAGGCCCCGGATAGTGACACCAATGTGCTGTATTTACTTGTGTAAGAGGTAAATATCGATTGCGCAACAAATCGAATAACACATTATTTTAAATTACTCGCCGTTAGAGTTGGCTATGTAATAACTAGCTTCCTTGTGAAATCCTACACATCGTGCGATGTATGCTAAGTTATCGGTACGTTTGACTTTGCAATATCCAGGTTCTAGATGAAATACCTAACACAGTTATTACCTGCTGTGTATATATTAATACTGTCGGCGTCACTCATTTCTAAAAATAGATCACACATAATAGGTTATAAGGTATCCTGGCTTGACATATCCCAATATTGTTTACACATTTGCTTCAAGTAGGACGATATGGCGACTTCCTCGGGAGCAATGTCCAGCACAACTGATTCTTACAGGTGAGTACTCAACACCTTACAGGTGAGTACTCAACACCTTACAGGTGGGTACTCAACACAATAAACTATATAGGTTTAAGTTTGTATGCTACCATAGATTGTGTTACTGGTAAAATATGACAATACAGACCATAGCTGGCCTTACTATAGTGTGTTCTATCATATCTTTCTTTTTCTTGCGATCTGCAGTTTTTGATTCTTAATAAATTATTTATTATTCGTTAAATAAAGAGACAAATTAAATCGATGAGAAATACAAGAAGCGTAGTACTTGTTGATATAGTTAATATAATTTTGCTTGTTATGCCTTGATATAATGTATTAATCATGTGAATTGACATAAAAACTGACATGAACATGTTCATGTTATGTTTCCAGTTTTCTTTTAAATGAAAATGATTTCCCCACCTTTGTATAGTGAACAATAACAGTTGTAGCTGTGGCTCCATTTAGCTTATTTTGTTATACTAAAGGGGAGGGGTGTTCATATTATTCAAAACCATCTGATTTCCCTAAACACAATCATGATACCTTTTGATTTATGTCACATTTTACTCTCACACATGACACAAAAAGAGAAATGTGTTGTATTATATGATGTATGTATACATCAGATTAAAATGATAAGGCTGCAATATTTTGAAATCAGTATTACTAGTAATGATAGTATATGTCATCAACAAGCGGATAATGTAATTTAGATAAAGCAGATAGGGCTATATGATTTAATGTTTCAAAGTTCCATTTTTTTACGAATAGTCGCGATAAATATTTTATACACATGTTTCGCTGACGATTAAATTATAAGTTGTTTTATTCCAGCGATTCCATAATGAAAAGTTTGGAAGAAAATGGATACGCTGTGGTTCCGAATGTTCTTACTGCTGAGGAGTGTGACAGATACATTGGCCAGTATAAATCCTGGTTACAGAGGTTTACAGATGCTGGGCGGGAATGTAAACACCAAAACTCCGTGATCCAGTCATACAGGACTGGTCACTTCTCGACTACCTGGGAAATACGCCTGAAGTGCAGACCTGTCTTTGAAAAAGTTTGGAAAACTGAAAAGTTGCTTTCAAGCGCAGACGCCATAGCCATTTCCAAGCCACCAGAAGAGGGTAGGTCATTCATTAAGTATTGATCCTTTTACATGTATACCTGGTAAATATAATTACATACACATGTATATGCCGATAACACCATTAACCAGGCATTCGATTTATAAACAAAACTCTTAAAAATGATTTTGCTAGTTTGATTTATATATATCTGAGCTATTTATTTAAATGTCAGACCATATTTTCATTCCGCTTGTTAGGAAATGTTTTGACTTAAATTTCACCTTTTTCGCTTCCAGAATCGGTGTAGAAATATAATTAAACGTAACATGCAGTTCCAGTACACAAAGTGTCGCATTTTAATGATTAATTTAAATAGACGGAGATATTTGCTGCAGTAGGCGAACCAAGTTTACAACACTTTGAAAGAGAAATAATGCTTTACTCCATGGTGAACTATATATATTATTCATTGAACATTTCAGGAAGCAATTTATTCGCAGATCCTGATATTGAGTGGTTACACTTAGACCAGGCTGCCAGTAGAAAAGGCCCTCATGCCTTCCAGGGCGGGGTCAACCTAGAGGAGAGCACTGAGACAGACCACTGCTTCCGGGTAATGGCAAAATCACATTTGTATCATTCAGAATTTTTCAAGGCATTTCCAAGTGCCGCAGCAAGCACAAAACGATTAGAATTTTACAAATTAAACCAGGAGCAAAAGGCTTGGTATGACAAGAAAGATTGTCAACGAACCAAAGTTCCAGTTCCAAAAGGCGGCATGGTATTGTGGGATTCCCGAACAGTTCACGACAATGTCAAACCGGTTTATGGCAGACCTCATAGTGATCGATGGCGGTTCGTCGTGTTTGTGTCCATGACACCTGCAATTTGGGCTAGACCGGAAGACCTGTGGATAAAAAAGAAAGCATATGAAGACATCTTAACGACATCTCATTGGTCATCCCAGGGTTTAAAGAATTTCAGACCGTTTAATCCGAGGAGTGGAGAGGAAAAATTCACTATACATGAACTACCAGATATCGCAAAAACAAAAGAAGCCAGACTTCTGTTTGGAATGGAGAAATATGACTTTGGCGATGGTAAACCAAACGGACCAAAAGAACCGATAAGGGTTTAGATGTGTTCAGCAGATGATGGACCAAGTGACATCGTAGTAACATTGCATCGTTCGTGATTAAGAGGTTCAAAGTGTTTCCATCAGTCAAGACACCTATGTGAGCTTTGACCTTATACCAAAGGACGTTACAATGACTCATGTGATACAGTAAAGTGACCATGCTGTAGGGTAGTGTGTGAACCAAACAACAAATATGCTGAATTTTCCATTTTTTTTTAAATTTTTGAATTTTAATGTTGAAATTTTCATCCTTATAATATATATTCGGACGTAGCTGAGACATTTTATTCCACGTAAGCTAATTTGACGTAACAAATAAGTTCTAAAATGGACACTTTTTTAGAAAACGTTCCGGTTTTATTTCCTTTTCTTACGTGATCTGCAAAAGTCAGTGTAAAGTGTATGCTTATAAGCCAATCATGATCCTTGTTACATACCAATAAGAATGAGGAAGATGTTTTCGTACTTTAAGCAATATACGTTTATGAAATTTTAGAATGTTAATGTTTTATCACCGAGATAAAAAAAAATACACGGAAACTTTAAAATATCCTCTGTAAAAAAGACATAGCCTGACATTTGTTTGTATGTGATAGGTAATATCAAATAGCAATATGAAACTTAGGGTGGCTCCACCCTTTCGCAATTAGCCAGCAGAATTCAATGAAAGTTTCACATAATGGTAACGTCAATATGTAGAGATGATTTCATGAAAATCTAAGCATTCCGATAAACTAGGGATATGTTTGTAAAAAATACCGAAAAATTGAATTTTTGTCATATTTAACACTTTCACATTTGTTGAGTGTGTGGCATTGTTCAAAACTATAACAACACTAAAATAATGAAAAGAAACATTGATAATCAACCCTACAAATATTTTATTTACCAAAATATCTACAACATGTTACAAAAAGCGCTATTTTATTGAAATTGTATGGATAAAAGTTTCTAAATACAAGCTAAAAGCAAACAGGACACATAGTTTCATACAAAAAGAGTGAAAAATTGAACCAAATACACATAAAGTCTTTATAATTCATTTATTTTACATTTTACAATAATTTTGAACCTGATGAGAGGTGTCCACCTTGAAAAAATAGGAACTTTTTGCAGAGGGATAGAATTTATACAATGACACTTATTTTCGTTACTATACCAAAAAACGACGGAAATAAATTAAATTCCTATATTTAATTGTCAATTTACTGTTCTTTTATGGAACAAAATTACTCTCAATCATGTACACTTTGGACATCATTCCATCGCCCGCTTACACATGGTATATTTACATGTCAGGTTCATGTGTAACCATAGGGCATAGGCTATCGTATGGTATGCCGTTATCACGTGCACGCACATGCACTTGTATCTTGATATTTGACAAATCACTATTTTCACAGAGTTATTGTTATTACATTTGTGTAAACATTAATTTCTTTTACAAATAACCGCGGAAAAAGTCATGAAAAAATCTTTTCAACAATACGGAAGTAATAGGAAATAAGAGAAAACCGGATTTTTTTGATTTTTTTTTTACTAATATTCTTATATTAACTTGATTTGAGGTAGAGATTCGATGAATTACACATTATATGTAATAAACAATTCTAGATTTTACTGGATTCTGAGGTTAGTTGCCATAATTGCTAGCATCAATTCACCTTACACGCAGTCTCGGTTCATCAATTCACCTTAAACGCAGTCTCGGTTCATCAATTCACCTTACACGTAGTCTCGGTTCATCAATTCACCTTCCACGCAGTCTCGCTTCATCAATTCACCTTACACGCAGTCTCGGTTCATCTATTCACCTTACACGCAGTCTCGGTTCATCAATTCGCCTTACACGCAGTCTCGGTTCATCAATTCACCTCACACGCAGTCTCGGTTCATCAATTCACCTTACACGTAGTCTCGGTTCATCAATTCACCTTCCACGCAGTCTCGGTTCATCAATTCACCTCACACGCAGTCTCGGTTCATCAATTCACCTTACACGTAGTCTCGGTTCATCAATTCAGCTTCCACGCAGTCTCGGGTCATCAATTCACCTTACACGCAGTCTCGGTTCATCAATCCACCTTACACGTAGTCTCGGTTCATCAATTCAGCTTCCACGCAGTCTCGGTTCATCAATTCACCTTACACGCAGTCTCGGTTCAATAGTCCTCCAGTGATTTTAGTGGATCGTGTTTTAAAGATCGTTCACTAATAAATCCATCAAATCTAATGTCTACAAACTCAAACTTTCACCTACCTTAATAAGTTCATAAATGTATGAGATACCTCCTATACATTTAAAACAAACCACTTTATTCTTTTAAAGGCATCTCTGTTATCCTTTAGATATGTGTCATGATTACCAAATGATATGAAAAGAACAATTAATTCACTCAAAATATCTCTATGACAATTTAAGTTATCTATAATATATTTAAAGATAATTTTGATACTTAAGCGATCCCTCTGTCGCTACCAAATGTACGTGTGGCTTGTCATATGTGCATGTCCTTATATCGAGTTTTTATTTTGTTTATTGTGAGAGGAATCTACCAAAATAAGACAAAGGTAAATAATTGTTTGATTATAAATATACACGAAGCACAGCTACAGACTATGGCGTGACAAACATTGCAATATTCAATAATTTTATATTTATGTTAAAGGTTGTATATTTGTACTCAATAATTGTAAATATGTGCTCAATAAAAAATACATATGTTTATATAAAATATATATGTGTGGGAAATGACATATTTGGTATATTCCTTTGGTTTATCACAAAGCTGTACTACTGTAGAGAGATAACTCTTCATGTTCTGGGGTTCGTCATAAACTTATCCACTGTAGGGAATATGAGGTTGTAATAAGTCATCTCGCGATAAGATTATAAAAACAAGGGGCCCAAAGGGCCTGTATCGCTCACCTGAATATGTTTTAAATAATTGGTATGAAGTAAAGATATAGCGCTCCATGGTAGGTGCTGTAAGTACATATGAAATTTCAGAAAGACCCATCCAGTACTCGAGATATAGCGAGAACAAACTTCAAACAGAGCCCCGCCCCTATGCCCCTAGGGGGCGTCATACCCACCAATTCTACAAAATTGAGACCCCTTGGTCCAAGGATGCTCCAGACTAAATTAGGATAGAATCCCTCAATCCATATGGTAGAAGAATGATTATAAATGTTTTTCTTCTTTTTCCCCTATTGGGCCCCTCCCTTCTGTCCCCAGGTGGGCCACACTCGCTGTTTATACGAAATTGAGACCATTTTGTCCAAGGATGCTCCAGACTAAATTAGGATAAAATCCCTCAATCCATATGGTAGAAGAATGATTATAAATGTTTTACTTCTTTTTCCCCTATTGGGCCCCGCCCCTCAGGTCCCAGGAGGCCACACCCACCGTTTATACAAAATTGGTTCCCCTTCCCCCAAGGATGCTTCAGACCGAATATGGAGCAAATCCTTTCATTCCTACAGAAGAAGAGGGATTTTAAAGAATAATTTGCTATGTTTCCCCTATTGGGCCCCACCTCTCAGGCCCCTGGCGGGCCAGACCCATGGTTTATACAAAAATGGTTCCCCTTCACCCAAGGATGCTTCAGACCGAATATGGAGCAAATCCTTTCATTCCTACAGAAGACGAAGGATATTAAAGAATTTGCTATATTTCCCCTATTGGGCCCCGCCCCTCAGGTCCCAGGGGGCCACACCCCCCGTTTATACAAAATTGGTTCCCCTTTACCCAAGGATACTCCACACCAAATATGGAACAAATCCTTTCATTCCAACAGAAGAAGAAGGATTTTAAAGAATAATTTGCTATGTTTCCCCTATTGGGCCCCACCTCTCAGGCCCCTGGCGGGCCAGACCCATGGTTTATACAAAATTGGTTCCCCTTGACCCAAGGATGCTTCAGACCGAATATGGAGCAAATCCTTTCATTCCTACAGAAGAAGAAGGATATTAAAGAATTTGCAATATTTCCCCTATTTGGGCCCCGCCCCTCAGCCCCCAGGGGGGCACACCCACCATTTATACAAAATTGAGTCCCCTTGGCCAAAGGATGCTCCAGACAAAATTAGGATAAAATCCTTTATTCCCTACGGTAGAAGAAGGATTTTCAAGGTTTTACCTCTATTTCGCCTATTGGGCCCCGCCCCTCTGCCCCCAGGGGGGCCACACCCACCGTTTATACAGGATTGAGTCCCCTTGGCCTAAGGCTACTCTAGACCAAATTTAGTCAAAATCTACCTGGCCGTTCAGGACAAGTAGCGTTTTAAAGGAAAAGTTGACGGACGGACGACGGACGACGAACGGACGACGGACGCTGCGTTATGGCATAAGCTCACCATGGTCCTTCGGACCAGGTGAGCTAAGGAAATTTCAAGCGACGCTGAACAGCTTTCATATATATTTTATCAACGCCTAAATACTATTAAATAAAATCTCGGACATGACAGGTTTCAAAAACATCTTGAATTAGATAGTAAGATGGACCGTATTTCCATGGATACTTAAATATTAATCACTTCATAAGTTCTTTTATACAATAAAATGTATTAACATTTTACGTACATATGTTGGTTCTTTAGGATTTATGTGATTACTATATCAGCACACGTTAACGATATTTAACGATTGTTTTTCGTGTAATTCATTCACGGAGAAAAATTCTCGTACTTCATGTATGTGTAACTGCTTGGGAGAGTATGATTGGCCACAAATACTTGGCGTAGATCGTGACGTCAGTACAATTACCATTTCCCGACAACAGTGTAGCGGATCAATCGAACCTATTGTCAGTATATACAGGGAAACCTGAGCCATAAGATTCTGTTTTAATATTATGTATGACTTGTATGCTTTTATGCGCTTTCTGATTGTCTATAATCTTAACTAGAAATATCTCGCAGTATATTTAAAATGTAATGCTTCTAGCTCCCAAATCTCTTTTTTTAAGATAAAATGTACATCAATGTCCGTAATTTAAATCACACTAAGCATTTAAGCATGAATGAATAATACACTTCCATAGTAATAGTTGTGTAACATACATTCATTATTTACCTCCAGTTTAAAAATTGAACTTCAAATGCTACCTGTGATTACTTTATTGCTGCTTTGATTTTTTACCTTTATTGTTTTTACTTGTTAAATTAACCTGTGATATTTGCTTGCCGTTTCTTAACTAGCTTTGAATTTACCTGCATGCTATTTATCAATGTTATTTCTTATTTGTTTCAATTGTTTGTCGTATATTGCTTTAAACATGTGACGTTGAAGAAACATTTTTTGTATCTTGTATCTTGTAAGATGTGACGTCGCTGAAGTAAGGGTTAAGGAAACAGAAATCTGTTTTTTCATGTTATCATTTACAGAATTGAAGACAGGTTGCACCGTAACACGAAACCAAAATAGTTCGACAATGGCATGTGACATGAGGTTTCATAAACGAATAAGACAATTTTAATGAGATATTTTTTTTATTGAGGAACATCATTGGTCTGAACAATAAGGTTTCTGAACACAAAGAAAAAAAAGAGGAAAGAAAGACTTGATATGTTTTGAATTCCCAAAATAGACTTTCGTTGTGAATTCACGCAAAAAAGGCTTATTTGAGGTAGACAAGTTTTATGGTACTTCATGCGCTACGATTTATTAAAAACTATGTCTTGCTAATTACATTATACTTTTAATTCTTCGTGCCTTTGCTAAATAGCCAGCAAATGTATCACGCACAGTAAACCAGTCCTATATTACTGCATGACATTGCTCTATAGTCTCACAAGCAGACACGCATGCAATTAAAACTATCCTTAACAACTGATGTTACTAATTAGCTCTGAACGTATAATAGACACGCATACTAGACCACATGTCTGCTTATGCCGCTGCATAATAGTCTTGCCATTTCGGCGACCTGGGGCCGTTTGGCTCACTGTTCTCAAAATCGTATTCTTCAACACCGAACAGAAGTTTGGCTTCTCTTGTTTTCGCTATTTCAGGTTGGGTCAAAATAGTATATTTAGGATCATCGTTCTCGGGGGTATACTCCTTAAAGGCTCTCACACCTTGTGATGACCAATGGGAAGTTGTCAACAAGTTTTCGTAAGCATTTCTCTTTTTCCCCAAGTCTTCGGGAAATGCCCAAATTGCTGGAGTCATGGAAACAAAAACTACAAAGCGCCATCTGTCGTTATTTGGTCTACCATATTCTGGTTTGACATTGTCGTGAACAGTACGGGAATCCCACAATACCATACCTCCTTTTGGAACCGGAACTTTTGTCCGCTTACATCCTTTTTTGCTATACCAGTCTTTCTCCAGGTCGTTTAGTTTATAGTGTTCTATCCGTCGTGACTTCTCTGCAGCATTTGGAAATGTCTGAAAGAATTCCTTGTGATGTATATGTGAACCCGCCATGACCCGAAAGCAATGGTCTGTATCGGTGCTTTCCTCCAAGTTGACCCCGCCCTGAAAGGCGTGAAGCCCCTCTCTACCGACAGCTTGGTCTAGATGCAGCCATTCACGATTTGGATCGACAAAATCATCACTTCCTGTGAAATAAAATCGATAAACGATATGGTATAATTAGGACACATTCAGATATAGATAATTCTGTATATATTCATAAATATATAGTTACAGCCCTAAATATTTAACTAGAAATGGTCGTTATTACCAAGTACATGTACGGCAGTTACGAGGGTTTTTTTCGTCTTGATATTAGAGCAATCGTTAACCAATTGTAATGTGACATTAGTTTTGAATTATGAAATTCCAAAATGGCTTCAAACCGACATTTGTAACCTGACGGAATTTGTCACAGTAGAAAAAAATGACATTGTTCCTATAAAAATTGTTTTTACAAAACAGTGTTGAAACTGTAAACCGACACAAACCACTCATATATATATATGAAATACAAGTAACGTTAAAACGTAAATATAGCAAATCGATTTGTACATTTATTATGGTAAAATAGATTCGGTAAAACGTGTTCTGCAAGATGCGCTACCGGACAGCATGGCGTTCGGTTAAGAAAGTTGCATCGAAGATACCATTTCAACAAATGCCAAAGAATAACACCATGTCATGCATTTCGATAGATTCATAAGATTTACGTGTGATTGGGATTAGAGCACTGTGAAAGCATACATCCTTAAGCCTCCACGTCTCAGTAGTGTAGCGCCTAATCTTAACTGCTGTCTCCCTAAACCATATTATAGTCCAAGTTCAAGTTCTTTATTAACTTTAAGTCTTGCGACTTATCAGTATAACCATATATTAAACAGGACATTCACATATGTACAAAAACCCACATTGGTCACAGGAGAATGAACAATACACACATACAAACTGTCACATATCTGATCGGCGCTTATTTGCCGCTATCAGATACTTTCCAAGATTACATAATCCTTTAATATTCGGTGTATTAAGTAATTGAACAAGCTTATATACACTAGGGTTATTTCTATAGTAAAATTTTAAATACTTCCGTCTTAAATCTGTATATCTTGTGCAAACTAAAACAAAATGAAACTCGTCCTCTATGTCATTAAGATTACACTTTGTACATAATCTATTAGTTCTAACAGTGCCAACATAACGTCCAGATTCAATGTTTAATTTGTGAGCTGACAGCCTAAGTCGAGCAATTTCTTTCATATAACCGATATTAACTGATTTTGTTAGATAAGATTGTAGTAAAATTGTACTGTTTAATTCTCTGTAAAGCATACCTTTAGACATACCTGAAATTAGACTATATCCCTCTTGATTAAAAATGTCAAATAATCTTGCCTTAATAATTAAAAAAGTGAAATTGTTTCCATTCTGTGCGTCCCAGATATATCCTAAGCCTAAACGATACCATTCATCTTTTATTTCACAGACCCATGGATCCTTGATTACCTTCTTCTGGGGGTTTAGATATAGCTACAGCATCTGCACTTGACAGCAGCTTTTCGGTTTTCCATATTTTGGCAAATATTGGTTTCGCGTGGAGTCTTACTGACCATGTAGCCGAGAAATGGCCTGTTCTGTAAGACTGGATGATCGAATGTTTATGTGAACATTCCAGACCTGCGCGATCGAACTTTTTCATCCAAGATTTGTACTGTTGGATATATTCATCACATTTCTCAGGAGGAAGGACATTCTTCACCACAACGTATCCATTTGCCTTAAGCTCTTTCACCACAGCGTCTCTAAAATATAATTAAAATTAAATTAATAATTTCTTTGTATACGTCAGTTATCTACTTAACATGAACTCCATTATATTGATACCGAATGTTTGGAAATCAAAATTGGTCTAAATTGCTATTGAAGCTGAAGAATAAAATAAACTGACCGGCTAAATCACCTCTCTGTACGCTCTGATATAATGAGAGGCTGTCTCAATGTGTATCATGCCTGTAATTACATGTTAGTATAGCCTTCTCATTATAATTGAAATAATTTATATGACGATACAAAATTAGAATGTTTTATATTTCATTTTATATATTAGTGTACCAATAGAGTTGCATGCACGTAAATACTATTATATTATATTGAACATAATATAATAGTATTTACGTGCATTGTAATTGTTTGACTTGAGAAAGAGATAAATCGGAATGCCGTGCCTTTTCTGTGTTATCTTACAGCAAGATACTTTATAGTACAGACTATAGTTTACCTGTAATTAAATCCTATTGTTCTCTAACTGACACCCAATCTCACCTAGCATACACCCAACACCTTACCTGTATATAGGAAAATACCAAATGTATGCTAGGTGAGAATACACCTTATGAATGGCATTGATATAGTGACGGGCCCAAACATTTATATAATCAGAGTCGTATATTACATGTAATATAAACGTCTCTAATATAATCAAAAGGTCTGTATTTCTATTATAAATCATATGCCCATTAGCAAATTTGATAATATTTTCCTTTGCCTGATTTTTTTTTTATGAATGAATTTTGAACGGATCACAATTTTTATGGAATTGTATCATATAAGCTTACCTGTCGAAACCTTGGCTTGCATTTGTCGCTCCGGCAGGTGAGGAAGTCGCCATATTTGTTTACTTCTTGGAGCTGTAACTTTTAATACACACACGTACGTACTCAGTACGCTCTCACACAACTGCGGCCCCTCTAACGCCCGTCATATATATACAACCGATATCACTTGTTATCGTATATTGATATCGTCGGAAGGGCAATGACAATTATTTCACAACCCATTGTAACATATATTTATAAATAGGTTCAGTATTAGAGACATGTGACGTATTGGTCGAATACTATGCAATTCTCAAGCACCTGATCTAGATATTTACCTGAAAACTGCCCAATTAATTTTGTCAACGACAAAAAATTGCTACTTAAAGAAAGAATTGTCAAAGTAAACTTATCAAAAGAAAAAAAGGCCCAAACAATGTTTTCTATGACATTTATCTTAATTAAGTGGTAAAGAAAATAAGCTGTCTGTACACAACCAACCAGTAAAAGACTGAGATCCGTTATCCAGACAAGGCAAACACCTAGCTCCGCTACAGGTATGTGACATATTTTGGGTACAAATTCCTCACACTTCGATGTTTATATAAATTTCCCATTCCATTGAGTTTCTTCAGCAGTCTATCCCTTCCATTGAGTTTCTTCAGCAGTCTATCCATTCCATTAAGTTTCTTCAATAGTCTACCATTCTATTGAGTTTTTTCAGCAGTCTATCCCTTCCATCGAGTTTCTTCAGCAGTCTATCCATTCCATTGGGTTTCTTCAATAGTCTACCATTCTATTGAGTTTCTTCAGCAGTCTATCCATTCCATTGAGCTTCTTTAGAAGTCTATCCATACCATTGAGTTTCTTCAGCAGTCTATCCATTCCATTGAGTTTCTTTAGTAGTCTATCCATTCCATTGAGTTTCTTTAGCAGTCTATCCACTCCGTTGAGTTTCTTCAGCAGTCCATCCATTCCATTGGGTTTCTTCTGCAGTCTATCCATTCCATTGAGTTTCTTCAGTAGTCTATCCCTTCCATTGAGTTTCTTCTGCAGTCTATCCATACCATTGAGTTTCTTCAGTAGTCTATCCCTTCCATTGAGTTTCTTCTGCAGTCGATCCCTTCCATTGAGTTTCTTCAGCAGTCTATCCACTCCATTGAGTTTCTTCAGCAGTCCATGCCTTCCATTGAGTTTCTTCTGCAGTCTATCCATTTCATTGAGTTTCTTCAGTAGTCTATCCCTTCCGTTGAGTTTCTTCTGCAGTCTATCCGTTCCATTGAGTTTCTTCAGCAGTCTATCCATTCATTGAGTTTCTTCAGCAGTCTATCCATTCCATTGAGTTTCTTTAGTAGTTTATCCATTCCATTGAGTTTCTTTAGCAGTCTATCCATTCCATTGAGTTTCTTCTGCAGTCTATCCCTTCCATTGAGTTTCTTCAGCAGTCTATTCATTCCATTGAGTTTCTTCAGCAGTCTATCCATTCATTGAGTTTCTTCAGCAGTCTATCCATTCCATTGAGCTTCTTTAGGAGTCTATCCATACCATTGAGTTTCTTCAGCAGTCTATCCATTCCATTGAGCTTCTTTAGAAGTCTATCCATTCCATTGAGTTTCCTCAGCAGTCGATCAATTTTATTGAGTTTCTTCAGTAATCTATCCCTTCCATTGAGTTTCTTCTGCAGTCTATCCGTTCCATTGAGTTTCGTCAGCAGTCTATCCATTCCATTGAGTTTCTTCAATAGTCTACCATTCTATTGAGTCTCTTTAGAAGTCTATCCATTCCATTGAGTTTCCTCGGCAGTCGATCCAATCCATTGAGTTTCTTCAGTAGTCTATCCCTTCCATTGAGTTTCTTCTGCAGTCGATCCCTTCCATTGAGTTTCTTCAGCAGTCTATCCACTCCATTGAGTTTCTTCAGCTGTCTATCCATTCCATTGAGTTTCTTCAGCAGTCTATCCCTTCCATTGAGTTTCTTCTGCAGTCTATCCCTTCCATTGAGTTTCTTCAGCAGTCTAGCCACTCCATTGAGTTTCTTCAGCAGTCTATCCATTCATTGAGTTTCTTCAGCAGTCTATCCATTCCATTGAGCTTCTTTAGAAGTCTATCCATTCCATTGAGTTTCCTCGGCAGTCGATCCATTTTATTGAGTTTCTTCAGTAATCTATCCCTTCCATTGAGTTTCTTCTGCAGTCTATCCATTCCATTGAGTTTCTTCAGCAGTCTATCCATTCCATTGAGTTTCTTTAGCAGTCTATCCACTCCATTGAGTTTCTTCAGCAGTCCATCCATTCCATTGAGTTTCTTCTGCAGTCTATCCATTCCATTGAGTTTCTCCTGCAGTCTATCCATTCCATTGAGTTTCTTAAATAGTCTACCATTCTATTGAGTTTCTTTAGAAGTCTATCCCTTCCATTGAGTTTCTTTAGCAGTCTATCAACTCCATTGAGTTTCTTCAGCAGTCAATCCATTCCATTGAGTTTCTTCAACAGTCTATCCATTCCATTGAGGTTCTTCAGCAGTCCATCCATTCCCTTGAGTTTCTTCTGCAGTCTATCCATTCGATTGAGTTTCTCCTGCAGTCTATCCATTCCATTGAGGTTCTTCAGCAGTCCATCCATTCCCTTGAGTTTCTTCTGCAGTCTATCCATTCGATTGAGTTTCTCCTGCAGTCTATCCATTCCATTGAGTTTCTTTAGCAGTCTATCCATTCCATTGAGTTTCTTCAGTAGTCTCTCCCTTCCATTGGGTTTCTTCTGCAGTCTATCCGTTCCATTGAGTTTCTTCAGCAGTCAATCCATTCCAGTGAGTTTCTTTAGCAGTCTATCCATTCCATTGAATTTCTTCAGTAGTCTCTCCCTTCCATTGGGCTTCTTCTGCAGTCTATCCGTTCCATTGAGTTTCTTCAGCAGTCTATCCCTTCCATTGAGTTTCTTCAGCAGTCTATCCATTCCATAGAGTTTCTTCAGCAGTCGATCCATTCCATTGAGTTTCTTCAGCAGTCTATCCATTCCATTGAATTTCTTCAGCAGTCTATCCCTTCCATTGAGTTTCTTCTGCAGTCTTTCCATTCCATTGAGTTTCTTTAGCAGTCTATCCATTCCATCGAGTTTCTTCAGCAGTCTTTCCATTCCATTGAGTTTCTTTAGCAGTCTATCAATTCCATTGAGTTTCTTCAGCTGTCTATCCATTCCATTGAGTTTCTTCAGCAGTCTATCCTTTCCATAGAGTTTCTTTAGCAGTCTATCCATCTTCAATCGAAATGACAAGGTATTATTCTCGCAAACCGGTTACAGTGTAGAGAATCTGCATATACATATATATAGAACAATTTACATATAAATCGTGGTGTTAATTCGCTTAATTATGTGATTAAGGAATTTTACCTCCGAGGTTGGTCATCGCCTATGATGATGACACTCTTCGCTATGCACATACTGGTTTTATCACATGCATTTGAAACAAAAACAAAATGTGACCTTTGAATTCATAAATGATTCTTATAAATCCAGCAATGAGACTTTTTGAAATGTGTTTGCTTTATTATGTGCATTCTAATGATTTAAGTTTGGTTAACGTTCAGTAAATATGCATTCTTTGACTTCAGGTTTCTATACCAATAAATCCAGTAAAATCATATTTTATCTACTGATAAACGTAAACTTATCAGATGACCGGTTCGAGAACTGTATCAGTTAAATGGGAACACGGCGTGAAGTGTCCGTTGCTCGTCATATCTTGATCAATTTCTTGCTGTCACTGACATAAAACATGGTATCCAAATGATATTCTTTAGTTGGAGTTTTAAGTCACGGACATAAATAAATAGTTTTGGCATTGTTTGTCATTCAGTAACAATTTTTCTTGACATAAAACACGTTGATGATATCTATATAAGTTACGGTTTTCACCCCACATCGAAATCTAGATATCATTTTCAAGAAGAAAAACATAACAAGAAAATTCTATCAAGTTTCTTATTTATATGCTGAATTAAAATCTTGTAACTGGACAAAGTAAATACGGAACCATGTTTACTTCAATAGTGAACTTTAACAACAATTGATACAAACCGTTAAAATAATCTATTGTTATAATTTAAAATATCACACCTATTTCTGAAGTTATTCATGACTGGACTCGGTAATCTTAGCCGAGTGGCTCCAATGGTACAATCTCCTCTTTGTTATAATGGGTCGTCGCCCAAGTCATGTTTGTAAGCGGCTCCTGTATTTCTGTGTTACCTCCCTTTACCCATACCTATTTCATAGAATCTCATTTCTCCTTTCCATGTGTTTCATATAATTATCATGTGTTTGAGCCGGTTTTGAAGGCTGAACGACATATTTTTGTTTTAATGTCCTGATTATAGTGTTGTGTTGTGAAAATCACTTTGAAAATGATTCATTACTGAAATAATGTCCCATTCCCTCGAAATGACATAATAAAAAGTTATTTTATATTTTTTATCAAGCGTAGGAATGACTAGATAGACTTTAGTTCAATTCAATATCCATTTCAATTTAATATTTGTATTGCTCAATTAAGTCGATCAAATGTATGACCTCTGGCTATGTATCTGTGTATTACATGCCGGTACGTATTAGGATTGTTGACAGGCTCAGAGTGACTTAGGGGATGATTAGTGTCAGAGACAGGCGCTTCATCAGCGAAGTATCAGCGCTGTGAAATACATCACCCACACCAGGACATGCACTGTCTACAGTAGGTTTTGTTTGTGTTCTAGTTTAAATGCTAGATATTTTAAATGGTTACTTTAAAACATAAAAAATATGTTTTATATTTCTAATTGAAAACACAGTATTTAAGAGTTAATGAACCCATTTTGTAAATTTTACTTTTGTAAATAATACCGTTATGTAGAAAAAAGCAACACATCATAATTAAACAAAGACAACATCCATACTCAATGATGATGCATATTTACCAACAGGCAACGTGGCTACACCAAAGTATAACGTGGCTACACCAAAGTATAACGTGGCTACACCAAAGTATAACGTGGCTACACCAAAGTGTAACGTGGCTACACCAAAGTATAACGTGGACATTAACTTCGGTACAAGTAGGTTTTTTCTTTAATTCATATATATGATATTGACATAATGTTAAGCGTTTTTGAAATTTAAAGTACA